CTGGTCAGCTGCCAACAGGCTTGCCAAATGCCATGATTTCTTGAACATTCCGCCCACCTCGTCCTAAGTGGGGACGAAGTTATGATGCCTCAGGCCGCCCACCGTCTGCGAGTGGTTTATCGATTGGTAAGATAGAAAGTTTGTTGACGGGTCGTTTGAGCGTTGAAGATTTAGTTTTGACGGTCACCACTCGTACGATGCCATCTGATCCTTCATGGATGTCCAATATTCGCCCCAACGGCCACTGCGTTGGGGGTGAACGTTCGTCTCGAATAAGGACAAGCTGCCCAATTTCGATGTTTGGGTTTCGTTGGCGCCACTTGGTTCTAGCTTGGAGTCCTTGAAGATATTCGTTCGACCATCGTACCCAGAAGTCATGATACATCTGCGTAAGCTGTTTCCACTTAGTGAGATGTGTCATATTAGCGTTAAACGAATATCCTTCCGGGGTGGTTGTAAGAGCTCTGCCGACCAAGAAGTGCCCCGGAGTTAACGCCGTGAGATCGTCGGGATCGTCACTGAGCGCGGTTAGTGGCCGTGAATTGAGGCAGGCTTCAATTTGTTTTAATACGGTGTACAGCTCCTCAAAAGTTAAAGTAGCCTGTCCAACTACTCGTTTTAGGTGCACCTTCATGCTTTTCACCGCAGCCTCCCAGATGCCCCCAAAGTTAGGGGCGGCAGGTGGTATGAAATGCCAGTTTATTTCACGACGAGAAGTGTACGATGCAGCTGCTTGAAGCTGAGCTTTCAAAGCTTCTCGTTCGCCAGCCAAAAGTGCGTTTGCGCCTACAAATGTGGTACCATTATCGCTGTAGACATCTGTGCAAAGGCCTCGAGTAGCAACAAAATGATTTAGAGCAGCTATAAACGCCTCGGCAGTCATATCGCTCACAAGCTCTAGATGGCAAGCTTTCGTAGCGAGGCAAATAAATACAACTGTGTACCCCTTATAGGCACGATGTCCTCTGCCCTTTGTCGTGCGCACTTGGAACGGACCTGCGTAATCTATTCCGGTATGGACGAATGGCAATGTGACGTTGCACCGAGGACTTGGTAGTTGACCCATAAGTTGTGTGCTTGGTTGACAAGTTTGTCGAAAACATGGCAGACATTTCCTGATGACAGCTTTCACTGCTGTACGGCCGTTTATCACCCAGAATCGTCGTCGAATGTGGTTGAGGGTTGACTGCGTCCCTGCATGCAGCAACTGATGATGAGCCTGTTTAATCAGTAATAAGGTTAAGTGACTAGTTTTGGGTAGAATCATGGGGTGTCGCTCATTAAATGATAGGTTAGCGTTTTTAAGCCGCCCACCGACGCGTAATATGCCCTCAGGATCGAGTAGGGGGTGCAGGTTGGCCAGCTTTCTCTTCGTGTCGATGCTCTTGCCCGCGCGTAACTGTTTCAGTTCCAGAGCAAACTCTTTTTGCTGTACTCGCTTAGTCCAAGATTTTAGCGCGGCATGGCGTTCACTCCAAAGACAATGCGACGTTGTAGCATGGGCTTTTCCAAGTTTGGCGGAAATGAAGCGCCTGCTCCAGGCGGTGACAGCGAGTAACTTACCAAGATCAGAATACTTTTCGAGGATTGATGACTCAGCCACTGCGGTCTGCGTGTTTAGCAACTTAATGGTTTTCATTTCAGGAAGCAGATGAGGAACCGGTGTGCGTAGTTGCGGCCAACTGTCGGCAGATGATTGTAGCCACGGTGGCCCCGTCCACCAAAGCGCATGGTTGAGTAGTTGACCTGGCGATATTCCCCTCGATGCACAGTCCGCTGGGTTGTCGAATGTGCGCACATACCTCCATGTGTCGCTGGATGTGATTTCGTGTATCTGAGTGATTCGATTAGCAACGAATTCTTTAAGCTTGCCGGGGTTTGACCGAATCCATCCAAGCGCAGTGGTTGAATCCGACCAAAAAAAAACGTGTCGACAGTTTGCAGCTTAAGAACTCCTTGAACCTTTTTGATGAGTTGGGCAGCCAGCAATGCTGCACAAAGCTCGAGTCGTGGTATAGTAACCCTTTTGAGTGGCGCCACCTTAGTTTTGGCTATAAGTAAGGTGACATGTGCGCCGCGCTCCGAAATCACCTTTAGGTACACCACCGCGGCATATGCTTGTGCAGATGCATCTGCGAATGCGTGATATTCAAACGAGGTGGCATTGTGAGACGTTTGTATCCAGCGTGGAACTCTGAGTTTGCTTAAGCTCTCTAATTCGGCACGAAGCATTCCCCACTCGTTTTGGATTGCTTCAGGAAGCTCCTCATCCCAGCCGATTCCAAGCGTCCATAATTGCTGGAATAAAATCTTTCCTCGTATTAGTACTGGAGCCAAGAAGCCCAGCGGGTCGAATAACTTCGCGACGTCTGAAAGCAGTTGGCGCTTAGTGAATCGTCGATCAGCAGGGTTAAGCGTTATTTTGTAGCTGAATCAGTCGGAGTGTGTCATCCAAACGATGCCTAAGGCCTTCGACTCGGTTTCAGTGTTAAGCTCATACGGGTCCTTATCCCCACGATCTTCAGGATCTATTTCTTGCAGCATATCAGTAGAATTGGAGTTCCATTTTCGGAGTTTGAAACCTCCAGCTAGCAAAAGTTGTTGTAGTTCACCTCTGAGTTGATTGGCCTCAAAAATGGTTCCAGCACCAGATAGAACGTCATCTACATAGAATTCGTTCAATAGTGTGGAACAGGCGTGCGGAAACTGTTGTTGTTCATCTCTAGCAAGCGCTTGTAAAACCTTCATAGCAAGGAACGGCGCACAATTGGTTCCATAAGTAACCGTTAATAACCGAAAGGTTGAGGTTGACTCTCCATCGCCGAATCGCCAGACAATTCGTTGCAAGTCGACGTCTTCCCCATGGACCAAAATTTGCCTGTACATCTTTTCGATGTCAGCTGTGAAGGCAATTCGGTATTTGCGCCAGTTCAAGACGACGGAAGCAAGATCCTTCTGTAACTTTGGACCTGTGTGTAGGCATTCGTTCAACGACAACCCAGACCCACTTCGCTTTGATGCGTTGAATACGACACGCAACTTGGTCGTAGTGCTTGAGTCCTTTAGCACGCTGTGATGGGGAAGATAGCTGACGCGGCCGTTGAGCCTATCGTTTCCAACCAGCTCCATATGACCAAGTTTGTAGTATTCGGACATGAAGTCGTGGTATAGTTTGCGTACTGAGGCATCTCGATTTAAACGGCGTTCCATGGTACTTAATAACGATAGTGCAGCCTCTCGTGTTGATGAAAGTTGAGAAAGGCCCGATTCATTTTTGACCGGGAGTCGTACCACATACCGACCTGTCTCAGTGCGTTGCGTAGTAGATTCAAAGAACTCGTTGCAGAATATCTCATCTTTAGTTAAGGTTTGTTGCACGGCTACCTCTTCCTGCTCCCAGAATCGACGAAGAAGTACATCTACCTCCAGTCTAGTGCAATAGCAGTCATAAGCGGCCTTCATTGATGAGTTACCTCGTTCTGGTAGGCTGCCGAAAATAACCCATCCTAATTGCGTATTTTGTGCGATGACATTAGTGTTGGGGCTACGCTTGATATCGTTGAGCATGATTGTGGCGTAGTCACCAGCACTCAAAATGACGTCGATAGCTCCTGATATGTTGAATTTAGGATCGGCAAGTTTAAGGTCCCAAAACGGCTTAAAGTGTTCAGGATGATAGTTCACAGATGGACTCAGGTTTCCTACGCGTGGCAATACTAGAGCAGTGCAGCGCATTTCGAAAGTGGAAATAGTTGAACGTAGCGAAAACTCCACCGAGCCAGTGGTTGTAGCCAACCTTTGACCGTTAGCTCCATTTAATGGAATACGCAGCGGCGACTTCGATAGTTTAAGCTGGGATACTACGTATTCACTGATAAAGGTGGCTTCAGCTCCGCTATCTAACAAAGCGCGTAGTACCATGGTGTGACCGGTGTTAGAATGCAGCTCGACTAACGCTGTTCCGAGTAGCACCGGAGGAACAACCGAAGAGGTCTGCTGAGTGATGGATGCGTTGTATGTGGATATAGGACTTTGGTTGCTTGCTGACGAAGATTTCATGGTCGCAGGTGGAGTCGGTTGGTTGTTTGCGCAGTACTCATGAATCATAGTGTGGTGAGCCGAATTGCATTTTTGACAACGGCGTTTTGACGAGCACTGATGAGCTTTGTGACCAGAGCGCAAACAGTTCATGCACAGGCTTGCTTGCTGTACTGTCTTGTATCGCTGCTGGGGCGTTTGGTTACGAAAGTCCGTACAAAATAAGATGTAGTGCTTGCTAGAACAGCAAGGGCAACTCGCTTCAGTAGTGTGGTACCCTTTCAAACCGTGTTGTTTGGATTTGGTAGTTGTAGTGTCCTTCGACTGTAAATTACTTGGTTTAGAATCTGCGAAGCTTTGCACGACTTCCAATGATTTGGTTTGATTTTCGATGAAAATACGTAAATCATCGAAAGTTGGAAGTGTGTTGTTGGAGGAGATAGACAGCTCCCACGCACGTACAGAGGCACTGTCAAGCTTGTGCACAACAGTGTAGATGAGCCAGTCGTCCCAGTGAGCTACCGGACGACCAAGTTGTTCTAATGCACGTAACGATGCGGTGACACTGTCAATCAATGATCGCAAATTGGCGGCGGATTCTCTTCGTATCGGTTGCAAATTTGTAATTTCGGTTAGATGTGCATTGATAATGATGCGTTTGTTGTCGAATTTGCGCTCCAGCAAGCACCAGGCGACAGTGAAGTTACCGTCTGTTGTAGCAATGTTATCCAGTGAGTTTTTCGCTTCGCCAATGAGACTGTCCTTTAAATACTGCAAGCGCTGCGTGTCTGACAAGTTTCGATTTTTGATGACGATCGACGTGAATAAATCCTTGAAGGGGTACCAGCGCAAAAATGACCCATCGAAAGGTGGTAGTTTAATTGGTGGAAGGCTATGAACCGGATACGCAGCAGTTGCAGGAATTGTTGGTGACTTCGTAATGATAGGGGAGCTCGTTGCCTCAATCATATCGTTCAGCTCCCCCAATGTTTCGGTGTAGATGCGCTCGATTTCGTTGTACGCGTCCAAAGCCAGCTGTGCCAGCTCAATAGTGCTGGCATCGTCAGCAGCGTTTGAGACTTCGTCATAGATTTTGACGTATTTTTCCCAATACTGGCAAAGCAGTGATCGGCGGCCGGTTAGAAACCCTTTGGTTTGTTTATTTTTAGCAGTTTTGCGTAAATTTGACATAAAATTTACAAGTAAATTTGCTGCGCCAGTTTGTTCTTTGATGAGAGTCTTCATCTTTGCAGAGAACGTTGTGGTTAGCTAACCTTAAAAAAAAACTTCTTAGTAGCTGGTTTGACTGCTGATATATATACGTGGACGGCGAAGAAGTCCAGTTAGCGTTCCCGAATATTCTTATGTGTATAGCAGGTATACATATAAGCCGCTTTATATATATATGTATGTAGGTAGCTTTCATGCGAACAGTAAATAGTGCCGTTTGCAGTTTACATATGTAAATAGCTTCAAAGTTAACAAATTTGAAGCAGCGTAGTTATAACATTTACTTTTGCAATTAATTTGCACGCAAAAGAGTCGGCGATGGCTAATGATGTCTTTTGTATGCAAATCAACCAAAAGCGGAGCGCACACAAGAAACTCCCCGCAAGGGTTGCCAATGTTAAAAGCTGGAATAAGCCAATGTAGGTTTCAGTTCACTTTATT